CACAACAAGTAAAAATCCAAAATCCTGATGCTGCAAGCTATCTATTGTTTCTGAAGAAACCATGAGCTATCCCATCAGTATATCTGCCATCCATAGGAATCTCAAGCTGGCTCCCAAGTATTTGGTTACTCCCTAATCTTAAGTGTTTCCCGATTATCAATCAGTTTCCTGAGATGGTCCAAACCAGATAACCCCTTGTCAAGAGAAAAGACAATGATTTACACTACTGAGGGTGCTTCGAAACAGCTGAACTGAGGGTATAAAAATCTGTAAAAAGTGTGTGTGTTTCAAGAAGAAGGACGAAATAAGAAGAAGAAGGAAGAGAAGAAGAAAACTCCTGTGCTGACACCATCCCCTGTCGTTCTTGGGACCCTGGAAGAACAGATCATCTTTCTCTTCAAGGATTGTGCTACGGACTGTGCCTGTCAGCTTTGCAGCCTGAGTATCTTGGACTAGGTGAGATTCCAGTGCTCTCTCTCTCTCTCCAACTGCAGCTACCGCCCCTGCTCTCCCCAAGACAAAATGTAAGGTGTTTGTTGTGGGAGACTCCCTCCTGAGGGGGACTGAGGGGCCAATCTGCCACCCCGACCCCTTAGCCCGGCAAGTCTGCTGCTTCCCGGGGGCCCGCATCCGGGACATTACGGAGAGGATCCCAAAGCTCCTTAAACCCACAGACCACTATCCCATGCTCCTTATTCATGTGGGCACCAATGACACTGCTCGGAGCACTCCCAGCCAGGTCATGAGGCGCTACAGGGATTTGGGAGCGGGGCTTAAGGGTCTGGGGGCACAGGTAGTGTTCTAGTCGATCCTCCCAGTCTCAGGCTATGGGCTGAGAAGGGACAGGAGGATCTATGGTCAACCAAAGACTGCAGCGCTGGTGTCGTCAGGAAGGCTTTGGCTTTCATGACCACAGCCCGCTCTTTGGCGAGCGAGGCAGCGAGCTGCTGGGAAGGGATGGCCTCCCCTTCATATTATGAAGTATATATTCATAACTTTATATTCTATCCTGCTACTAGGATTTTTCATTTTACATTAGCAAACAGAGATCTACAAATCTTTTTTTGGAACTGCATTTTCTTGGAAGTGCAGAGTTGAAAGACAGTTTGTGGTGCATATAAGATGCCCAATGGAAAAGCTAGGGGATGGTACATAGATGCTAACATAATGTTTGAGCCAGTGTTAGATAAAAAAATAGACACACAAAATTAGGTTAAAATGATGTATCATAAAGGGATTTTGTTATGAGTTCTACACTCTGGGCAGAATATCATCTCACTTTATGTGCCCAAATGGCAATTGCACAGACACATAACAGCCATCTCTGCTGCTTTGCTGCTTGCAGTTTTCAGTTCTTTTCTACATCTAGTGTGGATGGGTGGCTATTGAGCAGGTGCATTAAGCTGTACCCTCCCCAGTTTAACAATACACAACGATTTTGTATGATGCAGGTAGAACCTTGAAGCTGTTGGAGCAAAATTACCTTCTGGTCCCTTCTCTGGTGGTTCCCAGTGTAGTAGATGTTCAGTAAATCTAAACCTGGGTGTGAAAATCATGTTATGTTTTCAGAGATAATATAGGACAGTTTTTTCAGTACTACAGAATACTTTGAATCTTACATAGTTCTTGTATCCTATTAAGGATAGATAAATAAAATAACTGTCAGGGTTTTTTTTACTGTAGCAATATTTATACAATTTTAGGTTTCCAGATAACTTCCACAGAGGAAGCAGCACTGAAGAATAAATGGCAGAGGATCATGGGTTCAAATTATGAAATTGTGGTATGTATAGCTTAACCATTGTTGTTAAATGTTCTTGGTTTTGTTTAGCTATAACATTCACTACACTTAGTTTTTTATGTTTATGTGCACATTAGGGCTGTGCGAAATTTCGACGAGTGTTTTGTTTTGAAGCTGTTTCAATGCATTTTGAGCTCCGTGGGGCTAGGAGAGCCACTCGGAGTGCAGCCCTGGCTCTTCCCTGCCTCCTGCCACTGGGCTGCGCTCCAACCAGCTCCACCAGCCCCACAGAGCTCAGCCCAGCTGCACTTTGAGCGGCTCTGCTACTGGCTCTCCCGCCGCCTCCCACCACTGGGCTGAGTTCCATGAGGAGGGCAGAGCTGCTTAGAGTGCAGCCCAGTGGCGGGAGGTGGGGAGAGCCAGGGCTGTGCTGTGAGTGGCTGCACCAGCCCCACGGGGTTCAACCTGCCCTCCCAGTGCTGCAGGACTCTTTCTGAGGGTGCAGGCCCCCGGATCTGTGTGCGGGATGACAGGAGGCTGCTGCTGCTGCCTGGGGCTAGCAGCAGCACCAGACTTCCTGGTGCTGGGCTCAGGCTGCGCCCAGCACCGGTCCCAAGGATAACCTGTACTTACTGGCTTGCACTGCACCACCTGATATCAGCAGAAATGCAGTGAACCAAAAACAAAGATCACAACAGATGGAAGATTCCAGACATCCGCTCTATGTTCACACAGAAGTAACAAAATGGCTTAAAGCGCAAAAGAGTTTTGTGACTTGTGTTTTACCCTTGGACATAAAAGGTGACAGAGCATTACTGAAATTGTGGAAATAGAGATTATGTGCAATTGGATGCCTTGAAATGGACCTGGAACCCCAGGGGACATTCCCAGAGGGGCTGATACAGACTGGTGAACATAGTGATGCCTGAACCATGTGCGCACACAAACCAGATGATCCAAAACAAACATGATCACATGGGGCTACTGTAATGACATGAATATGTGCGAATGTAGTGAAGTGCAGGCCATGGTGCACCTGATCATTTGCTGACTCCTTGGTGAGAACTGTGCAAAGGAGGACCTCACTGCAGCAATGGAAAGAGCCATTGCTTGTGCATGGTTCTTGAAAGACATCCAGTTAATAACGAGGACATGAGAAGAAGACTGTAGGGCTAGGCAGAACTTCGATTTCTGTGCTTAGTGGGCCCCAGGTGTTTTGTTTCTGCTATACTAACCCAGAAGGGCTCATGCTTCCCTCCCCATTTACTGTTTAGCAGAGCTGGCCTACCACACTTGGTACACCTACACGTGCCATTAAGGCAATGTGATAAACTCCTGGGTGCAGCGTCAGCTCCAGGCTCTGGGTGGCAGTCTTGGGTGGCGGAGACTGGCTGTAGCACAAGTGCTAAAGTACAGGGTTAAGCGGCAGGCATCCCCTGCACATTAGCAGTCTTGTGTTCCAGCAATCCCCTGTTACTGTCTACATATCATTGCAGTGCAGGTAAGTACTCTGCCATAAGATAGTACGGTCCCTGACAGTACTGTCTTACAGCAGAGTTAATTAATTTACTTCACCCTAATACTGGCACACATGTAAATGGTGACAGTTTACTCTGGAACTAATTAGTCAGCTCCGCAGTAAAGCTCACGTGTATATGTACCCTCTGGGAAGTAAACTGCATCATCAGATCAAATATGCTGGCTCTCTGCTTGAGAGCTCTCATGGTGGGGGAGGGATTGTGTGGAATACTTAATTGTGAATTAATGCATATTGTATAAAGACATTGTTTTACAAAATACTGTATTATTAGCCTTTGTGGCTGCATAACATTTGATGGATTGAGCCCTTTGATATTTAGCCATCATCCCATTTCTTTGCAGTTCTCTCTGGATACTTTTTATCTACTGATAGACTTTGTTACCAGCTTACTTGGTCCTTTACAAAATAGCATAGGGAGTCACAATTGGCTGCTTCCTTTTAACTTCTATTGTGATACTATCTTGTGTAGGTATAGAAAGCTGATAAGCATGGATGCTTTTTGAAATGCTTGAACTTGTAACTTAAATGCCAGTACTTCTGACAAAATTCTGAGATTTCACTTATAAAGTTTTCAGTCTTTCTTATGTGATTTTGAATGAGAAATAAATACGTTTAATATTAAAACATATTAAAATAATGTTTTTTTAAAACCTTTTTAGGTGGCTGAAGTTAGCAAATCTAGTGAAAATAGTGGGTTAGGAATAAGCTTGGAAGCTACAGTAGGACATCATTTCATCCGATCTATTCTACCAGAAGGACCAGTCGGACGAAGTGGCAAGCTTTTTAGTGGAGATGAGCTGTTGGAAGTAAGAGATTATTCCTACTTTGTTTCTTTCTTTCTTTCTTGAAGGTGGCTTACTTCTCGCATTGAATGTTCTTTTGCATGTTGTATATCTTGTCACATACAGTTCCAACAAAAAAAGTATGATTGATTATTTTTCACGGCAGCCCATTTTTAGATGGCAGCCCATGAAATGTATACAAATTCAGAATTCAGTAAAAAGAAAACTTTCTTGTTGTTGATTTAAATTAACACTTTAAAATCAAAACATGAACTTGATTTTCATGATTGTGGGAGACCGGAGCACTACCTGTTCATGTGCACTGTGCACCTCTCTACACAAGTCTGATAATATCACTCAGTTTGTTACTGTTAGTTCATTTGTTATTGTACTGGAGTTGGGCGGAGCTCTCAGCAAAGGGTCCCATTCATGAATAAACCTGTGATAGTTTTATGAAGTGGCCACAAGTTTTGATGAGACCAAAAGTTCATATTCCACTTTTGATTATCATGTTCAAAGCTTATTTTAGACATGACCTAACTTGGAGTATTTTTTCATGCCAAAATGTTTTTTTCTCATTTATGTTCTTGATCATGGTACTAGATGTTCTGTTTTACTTTCTTTTTTTTTTTTTTGCAGGTGAATGAAATATCTTTGCTTGGTGAAAATCACAAAGATGTAGTCAATATTTTAAAAGAATTGCCTGTTAAGGTGAAAATGGTTTGCTGCCATCCAGTAGCTGCGCTTCTCAGTCTCCCAGAGTTGGATAGTCTAAGTCTCTCTGAGGTTCAGCTCATAGAAAAGGTTTTTATCTTAATTTAAAAATTATCTCTGACTACTTTACTCAAGGGGCCAGCATCTTTATGCTCCCTCTTCAGAAGGGGAAACTGAGGCACATAAAGGGTGGGCAGAGAAGTCTAAGGTCACGTAGCAGGCAACTAGTAGTTAGACATCCAGGATGCCTGAGTCCCAGTCCAGTGCCATAGCCAGAAGGACACACTGCATGCACTGGCTGGAATAACTTTATCAATAATCTTGTATAAGTGACATTTATAAGGAGCTCAGTTACTGCATACATGAAAGCTCTGTTATTGTAAATAGTCTCTAGGTTAAAGGCACAGGTTAGAGCAGTGGTGTCAGACTTTTTGGGCCCTGTGGTCTGGATCCAGTGTTTAAGTGGTTTTACACTCTCCATATACTCAGCACTGTCTCAGCTTTCATCTTGGTTTTGGTGTGCATGGCAGAAATTGGGCACGGGGTAATTCATAAACCTTTAGATTTGCAATGCTAATACATAAGCTTGAATGGGTTCTTTTTTTTGCTTTTTTAGCCTCATGCAGACCTTGGTGAAGCCATTGGTTCTTCAGAGACAGAGGGTCCTGATTTGAAAATGGCTGATATGGCTCAGAATACTGAGGATGTACAAGGATCTCCTTTGGCAATGTGGGAAACAGAAGTACAGCAGATTGAATTGGAGAAAGGAAACATGGGACTTGGATTTAGCATCCTAGATTACCAGGTAACACCTACTTTGTTTATTTTAAAGAAAGCTTAAAAGAGTTTTGTGTTAAGTCTGGAGCCCACCATATTTTATATTTTACATGTCAGGTTAACATATGGGAATCCTGTCAGGTTTTCATTATAGCCAGGGTTCCTGGATTTTACTCAGACCTCCCATTAATTGTATAGTTTATTCCTTTTACTGGATTAAGATTATGGGTTGTATTATGGTATTCCTGACATACACATGTCTACATAGAGTGCTAGACTTACAAAAGGCTTGGCTTCTTATTTGTATGTGAAATGAATTGCACACCCAGCTCAGAGCATTAAGGCATCTAATTTCATGATTTGCAGTAGCATTGAGGTACTTAGGGTTAGAGCCAATAAAGGACTTAGGTGTTTAAAGCAGGGTTAATGCGGGATCGAAGCATCTAAATACAAAATTGTGGTTCAAAAATCTCCACTCAGCTGCTGCCTAACCCTGGAGTTGCCTAAGTGCAATAGGTATTTTCCTGTTTGATTTTAAAATGTTCCTTGTTGTTTGGGATCCCTGCTTCTATGCATGCCCAGAACTGGCTCAGCCTGAGCAGTCTGGTACCTCCCACAAAAGTCTGATTAGGATCTAGAAACAATGTGCTGCCTAAACTCCAAAGAGGTGTGTAGGTTAAGATACACCCTCATCATTTCATATTAGTTACAGGTAGCTCCTGCCTAGCATGGGTGGGCGCGGTGTATCACTGTTCTGAAGTATCAGACTTTCCCAAAAGATGTTTAGGAAGCCTAGATGTCTTCTGTTCCAGGGACTAGGTGCCTAAAAGTTAGGTGATGCAGGCTTTTATATGTTTGAGTATTTTATTGCATCTAGCCCCATGAGATGCAACTATTTTGATTTGCATCCAATGTTTAGTTGTCAATTTCTGTCATTATCATGTCTCCATAAAGTGATGCTGGGCTTTTAGAAAATATGACCCACATCTTTACATGAGGGATTAAGTAATATAAAAGGGTCACATTGTTTGATAACGGCTTCTAATTCCAAATCTTGGAGACCAGCAGAGAAACTGAGAACAGTACTTGAGAACTTTGTTATAAGTGCTAGAACATATTACATATTTATCCCTGTTGGTTCTTGGGGATTTCATGAAATGGATTCAGTGTGCAATATCCTGTATACTGAAGTCATTTGTAGTATTGTTTGTGCCTCTTCGTTTCTTCCAGGAATATAAATGGTGAAGTAAAGTTAATATTTTATATTGTTTGGAAGGGATTTTATTTTTACTATTCTATCAAAATTGCAATTATCACTTAGTTAACTGTGACTAAAGCTGTAGTTTCATTAGCATGAGTGATTCCACTGATATTTCTGAATTCCTTTTCATTGCATAATGGGATGCCCAATATTCTCTCAAATGAGCAGGCTATCTACCTCAACAAGGGGGATTTTTAATATACCTGTAATGCAGCACCATCTCAAATGGCATTATAGCTGCTCTTGAACAAAATTACTAAGGACTGCCCACTCCTAAGTAATGGTCCCAGCTATTGCAAGTTGCAACCTGTAAGATATTATGGTTATGATTTCATTCCATATTACAACACAGCAGTTGTCATAAACTGTCAAAGATCTTGCTGCTCTTCTGTTCTTCAACACTTGTTCCTGTGTTTTTTATACACTGTGGTAGTGTTTTAAGTGTTGGCATGTGAAGCTGCTACTCTAAGGCTGTGGACAGGTATTACATTTGTGCTGGGAAAAATGCCTTTCTTTTGGCACAAGGAGCTAGCTAACATACAGCTGTTTGCAGAAGAAACCTGGTTCTGCCTTCATCCAAGGAATGGCAGGCTATGTCAGGTCAAGCGACTGGGATCCTGACTGCAGCAGGGGCAGGGATTGTCCTGTCCCCCGTTCCTTTCCCACTCCCTTTTCCACAGGCATCAGCTGGAGACAGTTTATCTGCTCTGAGGAGGGGGGGAGCAAGGGAGCAGCTCCCAGTCACCCCATGACTAGAGAATTCTCCTTTGAATCAACTTTGTTGCTATCCAACAAGAGGCTGGAATGCCTATATGCACCCTTTGTCACCATGTTTTCCAGTGCTGCAGATTTTCTGGAGATTTACAGAGCTGGAATAGAACAGTTAATAAGCAGAAGCTGCTGTAGGTCCTCTTTTGTAACTTGGAGTTCATCTTTTGGAATCAAAGAAGGTTATACTCGGTGGTATAGTATTTTGGGGGGTGGGGGGTGGTTCTGTTGTTCCTGCACAAGCCTGAATTGTTTAAACATTTAATGATAGTTCTGACCATGGTCTCTATGAAGCAGATTCTCAAAATATTAAGGAAATATTAAATGTGTATAGCAAAATCATAGAATCGTAAAAAGTAGGGCAGGAAGGGACCTTCAGAGGTCATTTAGTCCAAACCCCTGCTCAAAGTAGAATCAGCCCTATCCAGAGCATCCCATACAAGTTCATATCTAATTTATTACTAAAATTATGCAATCAACCCTGTAGGACAACTACAGAGCATATTACCCAAAGACACGAAAAACACCATAGCCTGTCATGGTCAAAGCAGGGGGATGAGGGCTGTCAATATCCTGCTCCTGCAAGTGTTGTTAAAATGCGCTTGAGTGATCCAAGAAAGAGGACCATTTCTCCCCCTTATGGAGGAAGGCTAAACTCCCATAGTCTGTACTAGTCTAACCATGGAATAAAATTCCTTCCTGATCCCAAATATGGTGATCAGTCTGACCCTGATTAGAGGGGCAAGGCTCTCCAACCTAGAAACTCTGGGTTTTATTTCTTATGCAGGAGTAATGATACACCTCAGTCAAAATCCCCAGCCTTGACTGCAGCCAACACCAATGCTTCTGAGGAAGGCAAAGCAAATTCCTTGATACTTGCAGCAATAAGCAGGGAAAAAATCCTCCCTGGCCCTGTGCAGCAACCAGCAAAGCCCAGAAGCATGGCAAAAATTAAGAACAAAAAGAACTTACTTGTTCTTGGTCTTTAGTTATAGTGTGTGCTTATGCACTCTGTGTGTGTGTGTGTGTGTGTGTGTGTGTGTGTTTTGAAAGTTGGAGATTTAAAAAATATTTCTTTATAAACAAAATTCACTCTTTTTATTCCACTGTTCATAATGTGCTTTATGGATTTCCTTCCAATGGCATGTGTCTGTACTTATTAAACTGCTTAGTTATGGACTTAAGGGCCTATTTTTATTATAGAGGTCTTTATGATGGAATGTGACCAGATTCCATTAACCACAAAGCAATCCTTATCAATAAGCTCTTTGATCTAGCAGGGCCTTAAAGTGTTAACCTTCCACACATGCTGCAATTCCTATTTTATTCCTAGACGTTTGAGTATATGGGAGGTTGAAGAAGGGAGCAGCCTTGTTATTGTGAAGGGTGCTTATCTTAATTGCTGATATGTAATTACAGCAGGAAATGCAGCCCATAATTCAGCAGTTTTACTGTGAAGTTAAATGATATAAAGGCATCCAGAACATGTGAAACATAATTATTTTTGCTTGTATATATCAAAAGAGGCCCAAATGTAGAGGTCTGAGAACATGGACAGTTGTTAGAGAAATAAGTTCCTTTTGAATACTCATTTAGAATTTGCTAGAGTAGAGATTGAGTTCAGACCTTACAAACTTGCCTATCTTCTGTTAATTAAAAATAAATGAGTAATGAGTAAGCTCTTTTCTTTACACTTCCTTCCATTAGGATCCAGTGGACCCCGCAAACACAGTGATTGTAATCCGCTCGTTAGTTCCTGGTGGTGTTGCTGAACAAGATGGCAGACTTCTTCCTGGTGATCGGCTTATGTTTGTTAATGATGTCAACTTGGAAAACGGCAGCCTGGAGGAAGCTGTACAAGCACTGAAAGGAGCACCAGCAGGGACAGTTAGAATAGGCGTTGCCAAACCATTACCTGTAAGAATTTGGATATCAAACAATTGCTTTCCATATACTGCAAACTGATTTTAGCAGCCTTGATCTTCACTTTTGTATAGCTGCTTTGTAGGGCTGTACGAAATTTCACCAGGTATCTCATTTTGAAGCTGTTTCGATGCGTTTCAAGCTCGAAACAGTGAAATCGAAGTGAAACAAAAGGCTTCAAAACAGCTTCAAAACGAAACGAGGGCTCTTGAAATGTTTCAAAGTTTCAAGACATTTTGAGTTTTGAAGACAGGCTTGCTGCAGCTAAACAGAAACTAAGGAGAGGCAGGGGGGAGGGGGGAGGAAGGCCTGCTCTCTGATATTGACATCTAGCTACCTGTTCACTTCCCTCAGCTCTCTGATCATTTCCCCAGCTCTTTCTGGGGTGTGCGGGCCCCCGATCTGTTCATGGGGTTTCAGCAGGCTGCCGCTGAAACTGCAGATCTGGGGGCCCGTGCCCCCTGGGAGGAGTCTGGCACAGCCCCGCAGCCCTCCCGGGGGGACACAGGCCCCCGGATCTGCGTGCGGGATGACATCAAGATGCTGCTGCTGACAAGTGATATGAATTTTGCTTTGAACAGTTTGAGGTGCAGTTTCCCAGAAACTCCTGCACCCTGAAACTTGGCAGACTTCATGCCCTCAGAGGGGGGTACCATCCCTACAATTTTCGTCCAAATCAGGCAATAAATGACAAAGTTATAGGCATTTTCATGATTCCCCATTATAGCCTATGGGCAAAATGTTGAAACACATTGAAATGGTGAAACAGTTTCAAAGAAACGAAACGAAACACTGTCTCTTCGAAATGGCGAAATGGAAATCGAAATGAAATGGTGCTGTTTCACAAAGCCCTACTGCTTTGTGCTACTGAGAAGGAATGAAGCTTCCAGAAAGCATTCTTGATTGGTTCCCTTGCATACAGGTTCTCCTTGCTTACAGGAAATATCTGCATAGCAATGTGTGCAGTGGACTTATAACACCTCACATTTTGCCCCCAGTTTATGGAGTATGGCTGGCAAAGAGGGAGTGAATGCAGCATGCCTTTGCTCCTGGAACAGCCTAGCTGTTAATACAATCCCTAAGGCTACAGATAGCTGGGCAGAGTTTAGAACAGCCCTAAATCTTCTCTGAAATGCATGAGAGTAGGTAAAGATGACACAAAGCCAGCTTCATATCCTTCTTCCAGAGTTGTGCCAACTCTGGTGTTTCCCACAATGTGCCCATTATAGGCACAATACATACACAATCTTTAAATCTAGATTTTTGAAAGAAACTTGCAGGTTAGTGTGAGTACTGCATGCTGCACATTAAAGTGTCCTGTGAATTAACATTTTCAGAATTAATATCAATTAAGGCACCAAGGAGGATTATGTTTGCTTAAGTTACTTTTCTGTTTCCTAACTTTGTGTAAATCTTTAGTATTGATGTTTAAATATTTAACATACCATCTTTGCTGACCTCTGCTACATTAGAAATAATTTTCTTTACTCTGGAGTATATAAGAGATGCACCTAAAAAGAAAAAACAGTAACAGTAAATTATGTTAAGAAGAAAAAAAAAGAACTTGTTGATTTTGTAGCACCCTAACTAAATATGTTTTGTTCTTTTCCAATTGTTATTTTCCCTAGAGGGTAAGAACTCACTACCGCCATCAGAGTTACTCCATTAGTTTGATTTGGTGTTTTCAGCAATGCAATTTCTGGCCTCTCCATATTCACATGGGGTGGCCCATGTGATTGTGGGAGATGGGGAAAATGGAAGCCGTACATTTAGACTTATTTATTAATAGGCTGCAAGTGCTGTGGATGGCCTGTTAGTTTCATTACTTAAGCAGGTAAAATAAGATATGAAAGATCAATGTGTACGTTTTTACTTTTCTAGTGGTGTAACATTGCTTGAGATTATCTTTCTTCTGAAGTTGATATTAATTTGCATTTCTAAAACTTTATTAACATTACTTACTATGCATGTCCTATACACTGGTTACTCATCCGACTCAGAGCTTCATTCTTTCTGCAGCTTTCGCCAGAAGAGGGTTATGTTTCAGCTAAGGAAGATTCCTTTTACTACACTGCCCAGTCACTTGAGGAGGAAGGGCCAGCTGATGCAGCGCTCTTCCATGCTGAGCTGGCTCTGGTTAGTGGCCACAACTTAACAATATTTCTATTAAAATCTACCTGACTATTGTCATCTTGTCTAGGCGCTGTAATGAAAAGCCTTATTTTATCACTTTGTTTATGATTTTTTATTTTTATTAATGTGTTTAGCCTCCCTTTTCTTCTTCTTCTGACCTGTAATCATTGGGTTTGGGCCTCAGGTAATATAAGCTTCCATAAGCCTGTTGAAATCAGTAGACCTACATTAGTTTGCACCAGCTGAAGATCTGACCCACAAATACTGGCTGCTAGGAAACAAGGGCATATTTTCCCTGAGATTTTTTAGTCAGCTAAGAGACCTGGATTCCCAGTTCCCATGGAATTGAATGGGCTTAAAGAATTCATATCTTGCCATTTGCACAGAGGTTTTTATTTGCTTATTTTCTAGAAACACTTAATCAATTTCTTTCTACTTTTCTATATAATTTGACAAGTTGATAAGAGGTCTTCAGGAAATGAAGTCTGCTTGTTGAGGAATACTGCAACTTAAAAAGTTGCCTATGTTTCTTTTTTAAGACTTTTTACAGTATGCGTCAGTGAACAGAAGATTTGGAAGGGTAAAAGCTACTCATTTTCACATAAAGAAATCAATATAAATAAGAAATGGGCACTGCACCTATCCCAGAAATTGCCAGAGACAAAGTTTCAGAAGACAGGAAATTATAATTTCCTGAGAATAATGTTTTATACTTTGTTTTTCACATATTCTTCTGTTTATTCAGACCTGGAGCCTGAACTTGCAAGATACTAAGTAAGGGTACCCCTGACCTTATTAAAACAGTTGCCAGCCTACATACTAAATTAATTTTTAAACAAATATCAGTATTCTTATATAGGATCTTTTTTCAGCCAGCATACACTTTTGAATATGAAAATTAAAATTATCATATTTGCCATAATTTCCCTTAGCTTGTGTGCAAGTGACAAAAGATGTATTTTTTTCTGAAACAATATCTATAAATGTCTCTGTCCATTTTCTTTCCCTGTTTAATTTTTCCTTGATACCGTGGTATAGTATATATGACTTCACTGGTAAATTAAGGAGAAGGAGACATTTTCTTATTAATAATTTTCTTGGGGAAAGATCCAATAAAAATTGACCCAAGGAACTGGTCTATAAGTGTTTGAACATATAACAAAGGCAAAAAGTTTGAAAATAATGCTGATATGCTTTTACAGTATATAAAATGAAGTGATTATTTGGTCTAAAGGTTCAAAACTTAATGGCTAAGTTGCATCTGCAAAATTAGAAAAGAAATATAAAATTACATATTTATGGCAAGTTTGCAAAGTAAATGCACAGTTACTTCTTTTATAGTTGCAAATATGAGGCCAAATCATGACATCCTTACTCAGATGCAGCTCCCAGAGCTCCCATTGGCACAGTTGAAGTGAAGGTATAATACCCCAAAGTGAGTGATGAGGTGATGGTGTTTTTGTGATTATCCTTGAAATACATGAGAAACAAGAATTCTTCTGGGTGATATCTTTTATTGGACTAACTGTTTAGTTTATATAGACCAGTGATTATCAACTAGGGTGCCATGCTAACTTGAATGCCTTGAGATCCTTTCAAGGCTGGTATGAGTTGCCACACAATATTAGCATTGTTAGGTGTACAAACGTGATTCACAAGATAAACTCAAGAGATTTCAAATGGGAATCCACAGTATTAAAAACTCTCTGACCTGTTGTGGTCTTTCATTTTTTCTGTAGTAAAAAATAAGTGAAGGATAAGTGCTGACATTTTCTGAGGAGTTCATTGAGTTTATCAAGGGGTGCCTAGAGTCTAGAAAGATTGAAAACTACAGGGATAGATATAGGCAAGCTTTTGGTATCAGAGTACCTTTCATCAGGCCTCAAGGGTACTAGGATACCTAAAAGCATGGCTATGTCTACCCCAACCACGCAGTTGGTCCAATAGCAGGTATTACCCATAAGAATTTTTGCCTCTTCCGAAGTGAATGAGGCACTTAGAGCATAAGTTTCCTTGAAAAATAGGGCTTAGGAATCTTTGAAAAGTATACCTGGAAGTAAGACTAACTGAGCCCTCAGCATTTGCCCTAACATTTTGCACATGCAACTTAGTTTATTTTGACAATTTAGGTCTAAATGTCTGACTTAAACCCACCGAATTTAGAGGAAAGGTGTTCACTTATCTTTTTGTGGCACAGGTGTATATACTAAGTGTCTGAATTAGAAATATGTTCTGTATGATTACAATCTGAACTGCACTGATCTTTATATGCACAGCAGAGCTATATACCTAAGCACAAAAGAGCCATTTGAGGACTGAGCATAAATGATAAATGTTTCCCTTGAATTGCCTGTTGGTATAAGACAATTGTATCATACATGTACACACACGATGCTAATGTTGCCCTATATTGTTTTAAAAGTTTGCTATGAGAGGCTTATATTTGGGTGTTTGAATGCAAGGAACTTAGTGGCAATATTAGAGAAATTGCTGAGGTATATGGATCATTGATGCAACAAATGGAATTGATCCTTTGGAGCCAGTTCAGTTCATTGTGTCAGTTGTTACATGTAGGAATATGAAATTATTAATTAATGACACAACTAGCCGCAAAAAGTGAAAAGCAGTCTTATGACCCATGTCTCCAGTTGCATGTTGAAAGAGCTTGCTCTGCAGATTATTTTCAGGGTTGACACTGGAGTTTAGTGAAGCCATGATACTTATCTCACTTGTATCTGTTTATTAGGGCGATTCCTGTTTCTAACCTACACTGGCAGATTAGAAACAGAGACATGGTATTCAAATGGTGAATTACAGTCAAATGTAGTTGCGACCATATTAGTATTTATTGTACTAAAAATCTTAGAAAAAATGAGTTACTCTGCATGCATCTATTACATATTTTTAAAATTCACTATTTCTGTCAGACTAAATATCCCACTTAAACAGCTTGCAAACCTTTACCATATAAAAGTCTCCCATTTCTAAAGGTTATATTCTTTTAACATTTCTTAACCTTCTAAAAACAGCCAAGGCTTTTAAAATAAACATCAGAAAAATAATTTAATCCTAAAAAGTAGCACTAAATGAATCTTCCTGCTTTGTAGCATTTAGTTTCAAAGTGGGGAGATTGTGAGGGGTTTGTTGACACCATGGACTAAACAAGAGTTTATAATAATCTAATATTAATCTAATCTAATATTAGACCTCATGGCCCTCAGCCCAGCTCCACTCTGAAATATTTGCAAAATCAGAGACAAACTGTACTGTACTGTTGTTACACAGATCTCACTAAGGATAGAATCTGGCCTGATGTGAGTAGAGGGTCTTGTGTAAAATAGAAAAACAGAAGAATATTAATCCACAGAAGAAGAATACTTCCTTGTAATATATACAAATAAATATTTAGCCACTGATGTCTGTGTGAGGCTTATGTGGTATGAAGGTAGCAGATAGCCTGACTGATGGCTAAATTTGCCTTTGTTGGTAGGTGGACTCCAGTGAGGCAGATCTTGTGGATGAATCTACCTTTGAATCACAGTATTCTCCCGACAATGATGATACCTTCCAGGCTTCTATATTAGCTCTACATGGTAGTGCTTGTAGTGATGATTTGAACTATAACCTCTCTCTTCCATCATCAACTCCTAAGGTAAAAAGAAAAGATCATTTTATTGATGGGAAATCTTGTATACAATGTTGAGTGTTTCTATCTAGCTGTTGTATTAGATGTAGAGGCATTATGTTGTCACAAGTCCATCTGCACATACGTTCGTTATCAGATTAGAGGGCATTTTCATTTAAGTAGTGTTGATTGGATACCTTTCAGCCTTGTATATTAGAGAGAGAGGGAGCTAGATGGTTCAGAACTTGGATTGTGCTCTGCAAAGTCAGACATGAAGTCTTTTGAGACATTTGTATTATTACAGTTATGGTGAGTAGTCTGCTACAAAAATGCTACTTATTAAGCTTCAGGGGATACTAAAAACTGGCTACATAGTCTAGCTGCTTTATTCTACTTGTACAGTGGTTGAGGCAAGTTACAGTCTCATTTTCATCATTTGTTTAATATTTGTGTAGCTGATGTTATGACCGTTAAAACACTATGTTCTTGAAGTAATGTACATTTACAATGATATTGTAATAAAAGGTAAACCAACAGCATATCTGGTTGAGTCTTAGTAGATAAACTGAATTACTTAATCAGCAAAGAATAAGTTTCTTAAAGATATTTGAGAGATTTTTTTTAATTTAGTTTTCCAGTCACCATATTGATTTTTTTTTTAATGTTGATAGTGGCTTTTTGTTTATCTCCATGTCATTTATTTTTTCTTCTTTACTTGACAGTCTGTTAATTATGTTTCTTTATCTAGGAACTTTCTAATACCTTTCTTCTAGGATTTATCTTTGCAGGCAACACCAGATATTTTTCTTGGATGGTTCACAGAGTATAATCTTGAATAGAAATCCTTCTCCTGCGTCTTCCACCCCTGAGACTGTCTGCTTTTATTCCTTCTGGAATGTGTTCAGTTTTTATAGGGACTGAAACCTGAATTTATCTCATAATGCAATCTTCTGAGCCACTCTAGAGCATATCTTTGCTGTGCCAAAAGGACAGATTGCATTGTTTAACTCCATAATTGTTACTTAAAGGGATTATGCAGTATGCATGCTGAGAATGATATATTTTATGGGATAGAGGCTGGTCTAATAAAATGTGCCATGTTAGGGTTCCCTGAAATCTTCATTTTTTTTCAGGACTTTTAAAGGCAGTTTTTATTTGGAATTTTGAAGCATGTGACCACACTCCCCCCCCCCCCCCCAATTTCTACTTGTGCATTTATTTACACAAGTGCAAAGTGAGTACAGTAAATTAATGTTTGAATCAGAAGCATTCTAGATGATCTTCGCAAAGGTGGAAAGGATTTCACAAGATGGAAAGCAGTGGGGAAACCAGTGTTTATAAAAATAATTTGGAGCAAATGATGAATGCAGTAAAACTTTGAACCTATGCAAATAGATATTACAAAGAATTCTGAGATACTTTAGATGGCTCTAGTGCAGAATACATTACTAGAATATAGGTTTTTGAATGCTTGGTTGTCATTTTCAAAATAACAGCTGGAGAAAAAGTATTTTAAATCAAAGTAACTTGAATGTATTTTCCCTTAATGAATATAGTTTGAGAGAGATCTGCAGGGAAGTTTAAAGCACTGATCACTCAAAAGAAACAAATTTGGGGGGATAGGACCTGATCCAGCTCCCATTGACATCAATGAGTGCGCTTCCACTAGTTTAGCAGAAGTTAGACCAGTGGCTTAAACAATATCAAAGGTGAGGATGTCAGCTGTCTTTCAGACATGATGAAATTCACTAAATTGATTAGGCTTCTTTTGTTCATATCTTTTAAAGGATGGGGATTATTTCATTTATCCACCCTGATATAAAATTTAGATTTTGTTCAGTTATATTCTCAGATGTAACTTAGATTGATTGCATAGTTGTGAATCTTTAATGATGACTGTCTGGTGAAACTGTTTTCTGAAATATTTCCTGGTGCCTATCCAGCTTCTTAATTCTCTCATGGATCTGTTTTGTTGCAGTGGTACTCCATGTTTTGGTCCCGCAGGCCATATTGGGCTCTGGGTCCTCGGACCACTTTCTCCCTGCCTCACCAGAATTAGGTCTCAGGGGCCTGGTGCTACCCCCCAGGCACCCAGATTAGATCCTTAGGGCCTAGCACTGTGGCAGGACAGTAGTGGGTGCTCCTGCACCGAGCCACCCACCTCACTGCGCTCGACCACCTTCCAGGCTCCGAGTGCCTCCCTGGGGGCACCACACGTCCAGCCGACCCCCTTCCTGGAGCACACCCGCTAGCCTGGGGGTACATCTGCCACCACCCAAGGATGGGCTTGATTCTGGCACTGCGTCCCCTGGGAAACACAGGCCTAGTAGCCCTCAAGGGTACTTGACTTACTTCAAGAACTTGGGGTGCTTCCCTCAGTTGGAAGCACAAGTAATGGTCTCCCTTAGTCAGCCGAACCAAGGGGACCCCAAGGCATAATCTAGACCCATTCCCAATATGTCTCCCACGCTAGATACAAAGAAGAACTTTATTGGTTACAAGGAGTAGGGTTGGAATAGGATACAGAGTTGAGTAATATCAGAGAAATCCCATAGAGCAAACAGGCTGGCTGGAGTAGCCTTTGATCACACATCTGAGTTACTGCAAGGTATATATCTAGTTAGATCTCAAGTATCTTACTCACAAGTATCATGCAGAGGCAGGTGGAAATTCCCTCTGGAGGCAGGCAGTTCCTTGATCATGAGTTTGGGAGAGAGACCAAGTTTCAGACGGTCCAGCTCTCCTCCCTCTCTCTGACTCTTCCTCATGGCTGCTGCCCTGCCTCCTCCTGGGAAGTCCTTAACTTATGACCTCATTTACCTGGTCCAGTGGAGGCCAGCACCTGTTGGCTGTCAGCCAACCAATTTGAAATGCATCACTGGTTGCTGGGCAGACTGGCAGTCTCTATCCCACCAGGGAGCCCAAGCCCCTCACCCAGGTATGTGATGCCAGTCACGTAGGCAGAGGAAGCAGGTTTCCCGCCTCCCTCAGGAATGTATCCATCTCAGGTTACCTAAAGAGAGAGGGTAAGGTGTGTACCCTCTGAGGCCCCATCCTAACCAAATTGTCACAGAACAGAGTTTTGGGGGAGAAACAGAGGTGGCCTTCTGCCACAAGCACCACCCTCTCCCACCTCCCATCGGCTGGGATTGGGTGCCCCATCCAGCACATTGGGTCTGGGACTCCCCATGGTTCCAAAATTTGGTGGCAGTGACCCACTGCTAAATTTCTGGATCATGGGGAGCCCCATGGGCCAGGTAACATGGTGCCGCAGGCTGGATCTGGCTTGCGGGCTGGTGGTTGAACACTCCTGTTTTACACTGAAAGGCAAATCCATATATTGACATCTGTGGGAAGATATTCCATATCCAGGAAAGCTTCTTTTTGTAGCAGTATAAGAGAATGCTGTAAATTGTAACACACAAGATGAGAATTAACATGGTCTTCAGGAAGAAAGAAATTATCTCTTTTACTTTCTCGCTTAAAGCATAGCACAGTTATGGCTTATTTCATGGTCCAAGGATGGAAACCTACATCAGACAGCCTGTTTCTGTTTGTACTCCTGATGATGCTGTTTCTGCCCCTTGAAAAACAAGCCTTTCACATTTTTGAGTCACTTTTAGTGAAGGGACAGGAGCATGTAATTGTATTGATGAAAATCAACTTTAATGTTCATGGTAGAAAATGGCACAGAATGCTACTGTTTACTCTTTACGTACAGAGTTTTGAAGGCACGTCTGCTTGAAAATCATTGAACATGACACAGTTATGTAGGCTGTTTGAGGGAGAATAAGGGATATTCTGAAAGCAGTGTAGGAAAATTAAAATGTCAGTGGAATAGAAATTTCCTGTGATGATAATGAATTTGCTGAAGAAGGAAAAATTTGGAATAAAAAGAATTACCTACCATTTCTGATACTGAAAAAAATGCCTTGTGCCTGTGATACATTGTTCAGTAGAGTCTGTTGGTGTAAATTTTCAAAAGAGAAGAGTGATTTTGAAGGTCCAGCTTGTCATTCTTTGAGGGCCTGATTTTCAGGAAAGAATAAATATCTATTATTTGACTACCAAGCTCCCTTTAAAGTGCTTTACATTGAAAAATTAAAATCATTGCTCATTTAAAAAAATGTTAATCAAACTTGCATAAAAAAAGAAAAACTTTACCTCAGTAATGTAGCTGCGGTCAACAAAACCTAGGCCCCATCTATACATTACACTTAAGGTATGACTAACTAAGTAATTGCACTGGAAAGTCACTGGCCAAATGTTCTATCGATTAATGGAGTTATAAAATGAAGAATAAGCTGCAAAGTTATATCACAAAATATGTATAACTTTGTAGCTGCTTCCTATCATACCATTAATTGAACATGTGGCCAGGGGTCCCTGTGCCTGGGAGCCCCATCAGCTGATTGGAGCTCCTAGCTAGGGGCCATGCGCTCCCAGTTGACAGGGCTTCCAGCCATGGGGGCAGGGGGAGAAAAGGAGAGGGGCTTTCATGTTACGTGTGTGACCATGTATGTTCTGTTGCCTAAGAAGTATGTAAATATTGATTTTGGTTGTTGTTAAGATGAACATTTTTTGTATAATTTAAATTAAAATTGACTTTTCTTGCAGCTTAGTTTGTGAATAAAGGCCTGCATCTTGTGATGTTTTTCCTCCTGAGACAGGCCACTAGACATTTAAATTGTAAGTAGTGTAAATTGTGGCCCAGATCCTGAATCTGCATACATCTACATTATACCACTGAAGTCATTGGAGTTCTGTTAGTTAACACCACTAAGGGCCTGCCCTCAGATATCAATGTTACTACCACAAATACAAATTATCACTACCTGAAAGAGCAAAATGTTTACAGAGGAAAAACTTGTTACAGTAAAATGACTTTCAGTGATCTGTCATTTTGTGAATTCACTGCTTTTTATGAGAGGCCAAATATAAGTATCTGTATGCTTAAATAAGCTTTAAATAATAAGTATTTAAATCAGTTTAACTGTTTTGCAGGTTTAATGTCAATTTAATATATTTAGCATAAAATACACATTTTAACAATAGTGTTTAGGATCTTAAATACTTCTTACTGATTCTGTTTAACAGGGTGTTGGAGAAGAATCTTCAAATGCCTCAGTTGATTTCCAAATGTCTGGCAAGAGTTCAAACAACATGGATCTTGTCCAGAGAGGGACAGAGAACAAAACCTCAGTGAAGATAAACCTAGAACCTGCTCTTGCTTTTGCAAAAAAGGATTTCCTACCTTCAGACATTCCTGAGAAACAGGCTGGATTTGAAAATACAGCTGAATGGACCAAGCCAGAGAGAGCCACTGAAGTGACACAAAATTCCAGCCTCACTACCACAGTTGACTTGGACCTCTCTGGAAAAGTAAAGGTCTATCTTTCTATAGACAGAATATGTGTGCAAATTATCTTTAGATTTAGTATTTGTAAACTGCTACTTCATGATTAACTTTCAATATTTCTGATTCTAAATGTAGTATTCTCCTGTGGGGTTCACAGTTGAAAGGTAACATTAGGCACAAGCCAGAGCAAGAAGGTGGTACAAAAGTCACCCTGACCTAGAAGCAACTCAACTGGGTTCTGTAGCTCACTCATTCTTGAATCACAGATCCGCCCTGTGTCCTCCATGCTTAATGAGACTGGAGGCAACAGTAAAGCAAGTCACTGTTAGCTCCTCAGAGCAATAAGTTGCTTTTGTGCTCTGTTGGCTCAGTGGCACTGACTAGATAATTAAGGTTACATGAGCAATACTTTGTCCCTTCCTTCCAAACTGATCCAAGAATCAGGGAAGCAAGTACATATATTTCTTACTGTTTTATTACATGCTTTGGTGCAAGATTTTGGTTGTCCACAAGGTAGTGATTCTCAACCTTTTTTAGACCTGATGGACCATTCATTAGACTGAAGGCCCCCTTCAGAAAATGTCAGCTCTTAGCTTTCACTCAGTTTTTAACTACACAAAAATAATAGTTCTTGTTGCAAAGAACTTAGAAAGACCAAAATAGGTCAGAATGTTTTTTAATGCTATGAATTTCCTATTTGAAATCTCTGTGTTTATCCTGCAAGTCATGTTTGCATGCCTAACTATGCTAACATGAGTGCACAGCACCTCACAACACCCCTAAAAGGATCTCAAGGTACCCTAGTTGAGAATCACTGCTATAAGGTGTATATGTAGATTCTCATTCCATGTACTATTGATGTTCAATTCACAGTTGAGCCTTCAAATATCACTGTAGACAAACAAGTGTTTAAGGACAACCTTTATGATGGATGATATCTTTTTTCTTTGGTTCAATGTGATTTCACTGAAAAAAAATAGATAAATTGCAGTTTCTTCTTAAATTAGCAATTCTAAGGCTCAGCAGACTGTCAGACATCTGTGATATATAAGGCATATGAAGTCTGGTCATATTTTACTCTTACTGTTTTGATACACTTTTCTTTGTTTTAGGTTGCAGTACCATTAATGGAAAAGAGCTATCCAACATCTACTGGGGAAAATTCCACAATTCAAAGTATTGCCAAACACATGTATGAGAAAACTATAACTATTGCAAAAGGCAATTCAAGTCTAGGTAGAGTATCCAAGGTGTCTGTCTGTCTGATTAATATTTCTCTGTTAATTACTGTTCCCTGTCTCTATAGCAGTATTGTCTAACCAGTTTCTGATCTACCCATTCATTCTAACACAGGGCTGTCCAACTTTGGGCCTGCCCCCAGGTAGCTGCACAATGCACACTCCAGGCATGGCCTCTCACATATCCATCCTCGACCCTCCGAGATTGTGCTGGGTGTGGGCTGTGCTGGCACTGAGATCTCTGCCCCTCCACCACTCAGGCAGCACCTGGACCCCTGGGCTCTCCGCTGCTGTGAGCTGGCCTCTTGCATGCCACCAGTTGAACATCTCTGTTCTAAAGGAAACTACTAAAAAAAATCCATGTAGCTGGGAGAATAGAAACAGGTGTTCACTTACCTTTTTTGCTTTATCTTCTGCTCTTCTCCATTCATTTGGCCATTTGGATCTGTAAAGGCATGCATTTAAACAATCAATCTACAAAGAGCTTCATTCTCTAACTAAAAGCATTCCTTTCATAAAATGGAGGACCTTAAACAGTAAAGTGATTCATCGTCAAAAATCTAATGCTTTTCTTATTTGTTTATATTAAATAATTTAAAATAAACAAAGTTAGGTTTGGAACAGAAATACGAAGAAAATAAAACTCAGTTTATATACAAATGTGTGATGTAGTTGAGAAGTCATGCACTTCAGTGTGAAAAGGACACTGGTCACAGGACCAAGTTTTCAGAGGTACTTAGATACCAAAAGATATAGACAGGTCTGTAGTGCAACCCTTTTGCTGCTGCGGGCTGTCACTTGTGACCTGGAATTCTCTTGCAGGCAACAAAATTCTGCTTCTAAGACTACCCAAGCCACCTGTGCTTGCCACCTGTTCTCTGCCTCCTTTCAGCTAAAGTGCTCCCAAGAGAGGAGCATTTTGATAGCAGCTCCTGTGGCTCTCTAAGTGCAGAGGCAGTGATGCCAACTGTCCCTTACCCAGGCTATGCAAATGGGGAGGGAGACCCCGCTCTCCTTATTTCATATTTCACAGCCACATAAAGGTTGGACATAAGGGAACCCCAAGGTATTTCAGTTTTTGCCAAAAGTAACTGTGCTCTCACTACTGCCCACCTATATCATAGGTAGTTAGTAGCCTTAGCAAATTGCATGTCAAACACAACAGTAAAACATAAAAGTACAACATATGTGTGTGTGCCTGTATATATAAAGAACTTGTGTCACATGTAGTCAAAAGGTAGAATTGCAAAAATGTAGAATTACCTACTGGTATTATGCCAACATAATATAAAAATAAGTAACTGTGGCCTCTAGCTCTTGACTTGGTTTTTTTTCTTGCAGTCCCTACCCATTCTGGCCCCTTGTGTTGCCTAGCCACAGCCAGTATTTTGCACACATGGCTGCACTGCTTTTAACTTTCACTTTTACTAAAGGAACTAAAACAAGAGCTATGTAATGATGTTGAAAGCTGCAGCTGTGTCAATTATTTAAGTTGAAAGCTAGCATTTTTTCTCTTAAATGCTAGCATTCATGGTTTGCAATAGCCCTTAAAGCCCAGCCATAATACTGCTAACTTTTCTTTTTGTTTTAAAAAAGAAATCTATATTAGGAGCACCAAACACTTGAAACACAATGAAAAGTAAAGTGCCCGTGCTCTGGGTATATATTAGTGAAGCTGTTGGTGCACCAGCAATGGCACTTAACTCTTTTTTCCTTCTTTGAAAGTATAAAAACCTGAAGATTTGGAAAAAGGGGGTTCAGTACAACAACCTGCACTGCAGAAGTGGCAGGTGGCTGAACCCCCTGCTCCTTGCTTCCTCTTTGCCCCTCCAGGTGCTGGCAGACCACACCATGGGAGCCTCCAGGCACTTTTTTAAATCCCAAAAGAAACAAAGAATCCCCTACCTTCCCTCTGGGCTCAGAAGCATATCCCCTCCCTTTCCTTTCTTTCCCCCTGTTCCCCTGCTCACTTCTACTTCTTTCCCTGCTGTCCAGGGACAGGAGCAGCTTCAAAGTGTTCCTTCCTGCTCCAGCTGGGCTGGGACAGCAGCGGTGGTAATGAGTGGATAGTAGGTTCTCCTGACTTGTCCAGCTCCCACAGAATTAATTGTGTGGAGGGAGAGCCCTCTGTCCATCATTGCTGCCACTGTCTCAGCTGAGGCCACCCCCACACAGCCCACCTGGAGCAAGCAGGAGTGGCTCTGAAGCTTTCTTAACCCCTGGGACAGTAAGAAAAGAAGCAGCAGGTGGGGGAGGAGTGAAAGTGGAGGGGAGGGGATGAGCCTCTGAGCATGGAGGGGAGAGAAGGGGAGGGGGGGATTCTCACCTGCTTTAGGGACTTAAAAAAAGTTCCCAGAGGCTTCTGGTGAAGTCGGGTCTAAAAGTGTGGGTGCAGTCACTGCTTCATTCATCTGGATCCACCACTGGTTATGCACTTGATATCAGATGTGAACTTGAATATTGATGTCATCTGATAGACACGGGGCCAGATTTGTCTGTGGTGTGATGGTGTTGGCTTCAGTTAAGTTGTGCCTGTTTACCCGAGGGATGAAAGGGGCTTCTAGTCTAAAGCCAAATTTTGACTGGCACCCTGGAGACAGGCACAATGCCCACAGAAATGAGCACACACATGCTGCCTATATTCTGGTGCACTACAGCCAAATATAGTACCACATGTGCATTTTGTTCCTACTAAGAATAGGAATAACCTATGTACGGAGAATTTTGGATGGAGGAGTGTGTGAGCATAAATGCATAGACCGTGCCCCCAGACCACAGCCAGCAGTGGCCATCTGTAACGTCTGAGCATTTACTTTGTGACATAACCAAAGTGGGAAGCAGAATCAAAGCAGCTGTCTCCCGAACTGTACTCTTGCAATAATAGCCACAGGATACATTAATTTATATAAAACAAAAGTATTTTTCCTTAGGATTGGTGGTCTATAAATTAAGATATATCCACATTCATCGACAGCGTCACATAGCTTGCCCATAGCTCAAATATTTACCTTCCAAGTCATAAACATAAGTCCCATTGCCCAAATAATCCCATATCTCTCCATCTGTTTCAATATTAAATGCCCAGGAAAAGATGGGCATGCTTAGGAGGTTAATAAATCTGAGCTTTGGCATGCCAAAGTGGGAAGGAGTGTGCCAGAGTCCAGGAAGCCTCATGGATAGTGTCCTGCCAGCCTCAGCCTCCTGCTTAAACAGAGGGAGCTTCAGCTTTAGAGCCTCTGCTTTATCTCATCTGTGGATTGGAGAGAGGTGGTTTCAGGTGACCACAGATGACTGATAAGAACAGTGTGCCTATGAGGTTAATACATCTGGGCTTTCTTACTGTTCATGGAGAACAGTGTGTTCTCCAGAGCTGTTAGCCATTTGAGCCTCTTTCATGAGCACTAACTGCCTTTGTAATTGTGAAATATACACAAACATACATGAAATCTTTCTCAGAGTATGGGTGACCATCAGAATAATGAGCAACAGTTGTCCTGTAGGGAGAGGAAGAAGGGGTAGTCATAATTGTGGGCTCATAGAACAGTGATGTAACCTAACTAGAATATAGTGCAACTGGTGCAATATTCTTTCCCTCAGCCATATGCATACTGTAATCTGTGTCATAGTACTTTACAACCTGATCTAGGTCCAATGAAATGAATAATAGACTTCAGTGGGCATTGAGTCAGGACATCTGTACTGTGCAAAGAAGGTATTTTTCAATGTTAGCTCTTTTGTGTTTTTTGCTCCTGTTTCTTCATCCTGACTGTTTTTCAGCCTTGGTGAAACAAAAATATTCCAAGTAAAGAAACTCTAAAATATAATTAAAATAGATAAATACTCTTACCAAGAGAAGCTAGAGAACTGATCGATTTGACCATGTTTAGAAACACTTAAAATACTTCTCAAAATAATACCATTTTGCTTGTTTGTTTTAGATACCACAGCAGTCTTATTTTCCTGTTGCTCCTGTGCTTAAAAACTAGAAGTTAATGTCACACGGGTCTAGCTGTGGGTCTGGGAAACCACTCAGTCTTGTTAACAGTCCCAGGTTTAGGGGTTGGCTTTCATTACTGAACGCTTTGTTTCATTGGGCAGTTGGAATATATTTCCTTTATATTATAAGGAGTAGCAGTTCTACACAATAATATGTTCCATACTTCTTTTATAACAGGGATGACTGTAAGTTCCAATAAAGATGGTTCAGGAATGATAGTCCGTAGCGTCATCCATGGTGGTTCCATAAGCCGTGATGGACGAATTGGTGTAGGGGACTGCATTCTCTGTATTAATGAAGAATCAACCACTAATTTGACAAATGCACAAGCCCGGGCTATGCTAAGGAGACATTCGCTCATTGGACCTGAAATAAAGTAGGTAAAGCTAGGACATGAGTTGGATAGGGAAGCATTAACAGTCACACAAAGTAGAGTACACATACGGTAGAAATCAGTATTTTAAATCAGAAATGTTTTTTTCTTTGTTTTCCTACAACATGTCATCATCTCAAATTGAGTCTTCGTATAGATGGAACATGAAATTACATGAGTTTTTCTGTGTTGTTTGCAAAAGAGTTCATTGCAGTTGTTATAACTCTGCCTATTCTGATAGAAGAAAAAGGCAATCAGAGGCATTTAAAGGGTGTTTTCTCAAATCTGGCTATTCAGACCAGAGTCTTTAGTTACCTAACTTTAGGCAGGAGTTGCAATTAGCATTTTTCATTAACCATGTGGCTATAAAGCCTTTGTTCCAAGTCAAGACAGTAATGAAATTTTATCTGAAGTATTTGTGGTTGTTAAAAAATGAATTGTTCTCTTGATTTTCTTTGTAGAATGTCTTTATAATTAATTAATTTTTTTGATGCCAAACAGAAAGTATGACACAATGTTAATGCTAGAAAATAGCCTTTTAAATGTGGTAGTGTTGAGGTGATCCTTGCTTTCGCTTATAACTATTTTCAGTAGGTCTTTGAAAAATGGCTATTGCCCACAGTTTTGCCAACTGATCAGTCTTGTCAGTTTACCATGCTGTTTTTCTGATCACAGTAGACAGTGGAGAGATTCCCACGTTTGTTTGTGCTTGGGGAAGCTCAGGCTTTGTTTGTACTACAAAGATTCACTGGCTGAGCTGACCTGCTTTAAAATTCAGTCTAGCTAAACCAGAGCAGAGTGCTAATGTAGACATGTATAAAACAGTTTAACCCTTGCTTATATCAATTTGGCTGAGTTGGGCCGTTTGTAGATGTGCTCACCATTTTCTAAACTATGATTAACTGATTTGCATCACACAGTTGGAATGAAATTTCAGTTTGAATTAAGGGCTAATTGATGATCGAGGGGGTTTGCCTCCTTCTTCACAGACTAGTAGCCTGTGTGCTTGAGCAGGGCTGGCGACTTAATCAGTATACTGTTACTTAGTCACAGCACATTTGACTTTGTAAAGGCATTGCTTTGTGCCTGATACCCTACTGTGTTGCAAAAACCCAACAGAGGGCATTTATAGATGTGCTGTGGGAGATGGGGTGGGGGTGCACATTAATTAGAGATATTCCGAGAGCCGCTCTAATTAAAGCACCCAGAGTGTCACATGTATCAGCGTCCCCACACTGAAAAATGGCGACAGGGGTGCTTTAATAAAGCTCGTCGAATGAGCTTTAGTTAATGTGCCCCTACCACATTAGCATTTGCAATGCTTATCTGGGTTCCTAAGGACTTTTTTTCTTAGAAGTAATGCTGTATATACATGTTAATTAATACAGTTTAAATTGCCTAATTCAGACTACCCTAGTCTTCATTGACTTTAATCCTCATTCAATAAAATTCATTAATCTAATTTTAATTTAGACTACAGATGTCCATGTGTATATAGTGACGGCTGTACTCCAGGTTAAACCTAGAAAAATGTAACGTCTATAAACGACTTTGGTGACTCATTAACATGTGTTAATCAATTTAAGCAAGAATTTAGTTATTATTTTTAGTTAATTACTAGCCTTTTTTTAATATAGGCAGTTTCAGAGCAGCCTTAGTGACAGTAACTGCAGCTCTTTGAGCAGGCATGGTTTTGTGGGTGCAGCTGCACCAGGATTTTTCACTTGACCTAGTACTTGGCTTGGTGAGTATCTGACCTTTTCACCCTGGTGGCCAGATAGGCAGTGTTTGGTGTCCAGATTTGGCCAGTGGGCCTGATCCAGTGCACAGGACAGGTGTGG